GAACCGTACCTCGTCTACTCCACTAACGAGTCTCTAGGAGTCGCCTACGCTACTCCTAAAAACCCGAACACTAAATCCTAACCCTAACCCTAATCCTAACCCTAACCAAGATCAAATAGTGACCAGGGGTAAAAGTTCCGGTATCCAGGACCGTACCTCAGGGTACGTTCTGGCAGTACCCTGGAGGACAAATAGACTCCTATGAGCGTCAGGCCCACGGCGCAAACGGGGCCGCGCCGCGCCCGTTTAGGAAAAAACTCCGCCCTGTTTTCAAAATTCGTTGCGCAGCCCGTTTAAATTACCTCGCCCCGATTAAATTCCACCCAAAAATAAAAGTTTGATACAGCGGCGGAAGATATGGCGATCGTCAAGAATTCCCTTCGAGGACCAAGGACACCCGACTCGTGTATTTTTACCGGTACCACGCAATGCACTGCATACCACACACAAGTACAAACAGTCAACAAAACTGTCCGCCTAACGCCAAACAGTAAATGTACACATGACTAGCTATCTTATATATACAAGAACCCCCAAATACCGTCTAAAATAGTGTGGTGGCGAATTTACGGCAATTTAATTAGTGGACGGTAAAAAAAACACGTCCCCCGGACCCGCCCACTGAAGTTTCCCCGCTTGCCTCCCCCCCTCCACCCCCCTCCCTCACCCTGTTTACAATTTCAACCTGGGAGAAGCCCTGAGCGTGACTGTGGCATGAACATGATTATAAAGTTAGAGCAGTGAGAAAACGTGTTGAAAAATTCGCACAACGCTCGCTTCGGTTCGGTTTGCACAATCACAGCACCAAAAATACATTACAACGAAAGAGGCCTCCAATACTGCACTGCCACTGGGGGCTCAGGGGTCTGTTGTCGTAATCAGGTACTTACAGATCTGTGTACAGCCGAGGTTACATATAATGTATGTATACACAAAGTGTACCAGACTTGTACTACAGAAGTGTGGCCCTATCCGACTAACTCTAACCGCTAACTCTATACCCTAACTCTAACCTAAAGACAACCTCATATAAGAAATATAAACATAATTACATAAACATAATACGAAACAACCTAAAACTACCTGGGGTACATATCTGTAGTACCTGATACGACAACGACCCCATCTGCGCCATTGGGACCTATGCATAGCTAAATATTCACTTGTTCGAGTTATAATTTGCTAACTGGTGCTGCCTACTTTCCCCAGAGATATCTGGTGAATTCCTGCGGAAAACTCTAGGCCTACATTTTGGCGGAGTGGGGGTTTTCCGTAGGAATTCACCAGATATCTCTGGGTATTTTTGGTCAGGCTTTCCAACCTGCACTATAATTTTGTTGTTTGTGCACAGCGGCATGTATGCGGTGTACTTGTGTGTTGCAAAGGACCATTTGAATGGCATTTACAGGAAATTAACAGTAATAATGGGCAAAAGAGAGTAGAGAAACATTAAGACCTTGGTAGTAAACACATTTCTTGTTTATATTCACAAACTTTTTATTAATCGAACGTTCCAAGTGCCTGGGCATGTTGTAATATTATAACAGTAGAAATAGTAGTGTTAGTACTGCTGAGAGGGGCTATGTCCTCCAGGGTACTGCCGGAACATACCCTGGTACTAACTAATATGCCGGACCGTACCTCGCCTACTCCACTAACAAGTCTAGGGAGTCGCCTACGCCTACTCCCTAACCCTAACCCTAACCCTAACCCTAACCCTAACCCTAACCCTAACCCTAACCATATCAAATAGTGACTAGGGTACATTCCGGCAGTACCCTGGGGGACATAGACCCTATGAGCGTTAGTACTGTACTATATTGAGCTACTCGGCTAGCCAAGTTACAGAGTTACATGGTACCTTCTGTTGAACGCGACACCTTCTCGTTGCCCACTACGTTAGTGAGTGACCTTCTCACTTCCTATGACGTGAAACAGTCTAAGAGCCTGGTCAGGCTACAGCAGAGCATACTTTAAAGAACAGTAGAGTAGTCTGTACACAGTGCAGCACAGCATACTTTCAGCAGTGGGGTTAGATACTAAATTTTATAGTACTTACTGTATAAGCTGTATATTTCGCGTATAGATATTTTCGCGAATTCGGACTTGACGGACAATTTCAGGAGTGGTTAATTTCGCGGTCGGTGAATTATGAATTATTCGGTGTTATTCGGTATGAATTATTTGCATGTTCTTATTTTCGTGTTTGCAAAATTCGCAAAATTTAAACCTCTGCGAAATATACAGCTATATATAGTAACTAGCCCTTGGGGCTAGTAGATTTGTGGATCTACTAGCCCCCTTTACTATCTACTAGCCCAGCTGCCGTAGGAGGCTGGTCGAGTTGCGTGGGGGTAGGCGCAGGAGGAGGCTGTACCCCCTCCTGCAAGGGGGGTATGGGGGGGTCTTCCCCAGAAAAATTAAGAAGCCAAATCCTGCATTCTGAGCATATCTGGAGTGAAAATTATGGTTAAAAAAAAGAAATTCTGACATTTTTATTTTCATTTTAATATCTACATCAACTCCTTAAGCAGCCGAAAGGACTTCATGTGAAGTTGCCCTAAGTCCATGGAACTGACGAATGGCAGAGCAGGCTTAATTGTTACAGGTTTTTAAAGTAGCAGGCTAAACTACCCAAGTAGGCGGCTGTTTGCTGCCGCAGGCTGCACCCAAGCCGCGTAGCTGCGAGGGGGTTGGTTTCGGGAGGGGGGAGTGCACGATTGTTTATGTCGCTTGGGACATGTTCATTACTCAATATATAGTGGCACACAGCTGGGATCAGAGGACGACAGCAAAATTCTTTCCTGGAACTGAGGAAAAAGCTGAAATTGGGAATGACGCACAATGAGCGTGCCGGCACGCAAAAACAAACGTGTGTAAATTTGTTTGAAAATTACACCTCTTTGATACAATTTCCTGCACTCTGAGGCAGCATTATTAAACAAGCTTCATCACAAAAATATCACTTAAATTTAGTTGAGTATTTTTATCTTTGTGGACACCATACAAAGAAAAACAAACTTACTTAGAAAAAGAGAAACAAACTTTAAATTGCTGAGGGGTGAACTGCTCAGTCGCTGTCACTGTATTTGTGTAAGTACAATGCTATGGCAAAGTAATGTAGTTTTAATAAGTTAACCTATCTGCCAACTGCATGAATAGCTAACTGCAGGCCTCGACACTTATTTTCAGATCTGGTTTGTCCTGTTGCGCAACAAGAAGCAATTTTTACGTGTCCGAATTTTGATTTTACTTGTCCAAAATTTACTTGGAATCTGCATAACATATTACCTGGAGTGTATAATAATGAAATTCACACATTTATTTTTGCATGCTGGCACGCTCATTGTGTGTCATTCCCAATTGCAGCTTTTTCCTCAATTCCAGTAAAGAATTTTGCTGTCATCCTCTGATCCCAGATGTTCCCCCCCATACACATTCTGTAATGAACATGCTCTAATTTGCAAACAATTGTCCCCCCCCCCCATACACCAATCAATGCCACCAAGTCAGGCATGAGTACACAGCCACGCTGTGCTGGCTGTCGCTGCACGCTGTCTCGCAGGCTGCTTTTTTCGGCGACCTTCCATAAAATAACGTGGGAATGTCAGTGCGATAAATAATACCCTGGCTCGAAGGATGTTAGGAATATTAAACAAAGTTCTAGAATTTTTCAGTTGTCCGATCGGGCAATCTGGCCGTTTAAGTTTGTTTTAAAAAAAAGTAGACGGTGGTTTTTGCCAACAGCCGGCTTGATTTGACAAGGCTGTAGAGACGAAATGACAGTGATTTACCAGCCATTATACAGTACAAACGCCCTACTAATCTACTAACCCGTCGGGCTAGCATTGATAGGACATTTGGTAGCCCGAACACAACTCACTAGCCCTGGGCTATCGGGCTAGCGTTAGTGTCAAACCCTGAGCAGGGTACTAGTAGTACTTAGTAGAGTACAGTAGTACTGTACTCTACTACTACTACTACTAGTGCTGTAGAGTTAGCTATCTGTAGGTAGTATTGGTAGAACCAGCTCTACTGATGTAGCCCATTCGCTCTTGCTGCAGCAAGGTGCTCCCCCGTAGCAGGAGCAAAGGGGCTGCACCGGTAGAGCTAAGAATAAGTATACAAAAAATAAACATTATAATATTGTTGCATTGTAAAACTGACGGCGAGCACTATAGCCTAGAGTAGAGTACAGGGGTGATAATATACTAGGGTTTACACACTAGTTGGTAAACATTTACAAGTTATCAGAATTAAAGAGCTAAATAATATATATTCAGACCTGATATGTTGATATATGCAGTAGATAGACAGTGGTGGTTTAATGGGTAGCATACTTGACTTCGTGCTGAAACGTCTGGGGTGTAAGTTTCGATGTCACTGCTTTTGTGTTTTTAAGAAAATCACTATATATAATACTGATTTGCTTTAGTTGACACCTGTTGTAGAAATGTGTTTTTAGTTGTTGTCATCTTCAACAATGAATGGGACCCAAAGACAGCGAAATTCTGATAAAGATGCTGTTTCTGTAACAATTTAAAAAATTTAGGTACTGTAATATACTGCATTGAAGATATTTCATCGTTTAATTTGCAAATCTGTATAGAATTGCTTAGGGCCCAGAACAAATCTGGGGAGGAAGTTACCCTTCGAACTATAAGGATTTGCTCTGAATCTTGAGCCCTGGATATGTTCACGTATGATAGCAGTGCCGTGTGTTCTAAATATAAATGCAATGCAAATGATCCCAAGTCTTACACCCTAGAGCAAAGTGAGTCGCTCCATTTATTTTTTGTGTCAGTAGGGTTAGGGTTCATCACCTGTGTTATATTACCAGTCAGTGACCTGGGTCTGGTCAGTTGTGTTGCTGGTGTTGTGCACAAAGTGGCTTTGCTCCCAATAAACATGGTATGCTTTTGTAATATGTTAAAAGAAATCAGTAAACTTGTCTTAAATTTGAGTGTGTGCATGCTGATAACAAGATTTTTGTAATTTAGCAGTTACGAGACAGGCATGTGGTGAGCGACAACAACAATGACGGTGATTATTGCCACGATAAAGCAGTCGGCAGTGGTGGACAGAACTCAACATCTGCTGGTGTGAAACGGTTATGGACTGTATTAGTGGTAAGGCATTTGCTTCGAAGTGGTTGACTTCTGCAGGTTTACGTGGAGTGGTAGTATTTTTACATTCAATGTCTGCTGTAATTTATGCATGCTTCAAAGATGTGAGAATAATTATGTCTTTTCGATTCTTCAATGTTATTCTGCTGGCTGTATCTGAACCCAGCGTTCGGGCCCTTTACTTTTCTTGTTTGCTATGCACGCAATATTGTCAGGTACACTAAATTTCTAGGTTATGAACGTCCAACTTGTGTTCACCGGGACTTGGGAGTGAGACTCATTTATTTGCATGTTTATGAACTTGTGAGCTTTCAGTTTCACCTATCCCACTACTCCCTGTACATAAGAAGTAACCAGTTAAAAATACCACTCTATATAATCTATGATGGGCCAATCGTGATACAGAAATTCCTCAATCATCTAGGACTAGTGTCTGGTATCATGCTGGCCAATGTAAAACAAATTAATGTCCTAATTTGTTAGAGGATTATGGGATGGTAGGTTATGGGAGCCTCCAAATAGGTTATGGGAGCCTCCAAACAAATGCACAGAACTTCGAATGCTTAGTATAGCGTGAGTGCTAGTGCAGGGTCACATTTCTTAGGGTTAAGCTAATGTTGCCTAGGATTCAATTGAACAGTTCATGCCATCATGGTTAGTTGGAGGGAAATACCTATAAACACCTTTCAGAGCAGGGGCACGAATGCAGTATTACTTTTTAGCAAAACATTTTATGTAAGAAAGGGAGGGATACATGCACAACATGGAAATAATTGGAAGAGCACATTAGCAAACGGGTAGGGCAGCTACGGAAATTTCTGGATATCTGCCAGATTTATCGAGGCAACACCACAAGTGAGGGGGGTAACCAAAGCATTTAATGTCTGTGCCGTGGTAAAATTCTAGCCATGTTAGTGTTTTGTATTTGCAGTGTCTATTTTCATGTATCTTTGCTGTGCGTGTAGCTTTGATAATCCTATGGAGGTTTGTGTGTTGGATTTTGTTTGTGACATGTAAATGCAACTTTTAGACGATGTCTGCCAAACTACAGTATAATTGGTTCAAACTGGACCCGGAGAAAAGCTACCATCCTAAGGACAATACAGGCAGAATGTCAAATGGGATTTTCTTGTATTCATACAAGGACATTCCAGAATTTCTCAAAGGAAACCCATTTGTGATAAATGGATATAGAGCCTTCCTACCACCCAGTCTCATAATAAGGAGGTGAGTAGGATATATATACTTTTAGTGTAAGGAGGTGACTAAGCCATATGTGTGCTAGCTTCATCCACATATATATAATAATAATCTAATATATAATATATAATATATATATATATTATAATATATATATAATAATATATATAATAATAATCTAAGGAGTTGATTGGACCACGTGTGTACTTTGTATATGGATATATATATATATGATCATGTTTTGGAACTAAAACCATAATTTGTGAATATGTTACATTTGCTCTCTACTTTGCAGTTTGTGTTTCTGGTCGAATGAAAGCATAAACATTTGGAGCCACCTACTGGGCTGTTTATTCTTCTTTCTACTCATGCTTTACGATGTATTTGTCATTGTACCCCACTTTGGAGGTCCTGCTGACATCCTAGTCATGTGCCTAGCACTTTTGTCATACCAGGTGAATATTGTGTATTGGTAGTAATTTGGTACGCAACCTTCAAGAGTTTTCTCCACATGTTACACGGGTGATGTTTTACATTAACGATGCAGTCATGAAGAATCGCATTAATGGGATTCTTTACATGGCTATGCTTTTGATCCTATATTTGTGTTTTTAAGGTATGTACAATTCTGTCGGCTGTTTATCATCTTGTAAACTGCCATTCAGAAGCAGTTGCACAACGTTGGCTCGCGCTAGATTTCACCGGTATATCAGCAGCTCTGCTGGGAATCTACTTACCCGGGACATTCTATGCGTACACGTGCTTTCAGGTACATTGTCTGTGCGTGCGTGAGTGCGTGCATGAGTGTTGGCATGTGTGTGTGTGTGTGTGTGTGTGTGTGCGTGCGTGCGTGCGTGCGTGCGTGCGTGTGTGTGAGCTAGCAGTGGTGATAGTGATCACAAATAGTTGTTGTTTTCCAAACTTAACATGGTATACTGTAGTTCCCTCTATTGTTTGTGTACTGTTCAAGCTTCCTGTGCAACCTGTTATTCTTTTGTCATCATTTCGTACTATGCTATATCTGATAATTTTCAGTGTGAGTAGGGTTCGCAAAGCATGAGCCTAAAATAGTTATCAGTGAGATGCCTGTGTCTACTTTGTCGAACACGTGCATAGCTTGTCGAATTATTCCACATATTCAATAGAAAAATGGAATGATAACTCTTTATGGCAGCTGTTAGATAAATACTCCTGCTGAACTTATTATTTAAATGAAGGTTTTTTGATTAAAGATTAAGGATACACTCAAGCTATTAAAGGGATACATTTCTCTAGGTTCTTCAGATATTTTCAGCTAAGATAGGTAAAAATTACACTTCATAAAAAGGGTTTTATGGTTCAATATTTATCAGAAATATTTTTAAGAAATGTTTTAAAACTGATGGCTATACAGTTGCTTACAACGACGATGTCGCCATTGGGAGCGCACCCACTGGAAAAGTTGCGCAAAGCATCTTTGTAAAAAAATCTTTTGCACAAAGCACCTTTAATGCGAAATTTTATTGATTTTTCATTTTCATTCTTATTCGATGGCTAACACTAGGTGCCACCTTTGTACATGCTTATTTTTAGCTCATCTGACATAGTCAGATGCAGCTTGTAGAATCGCATGATCGTCCGTCCGTCCGTCCTGCAGCTTGTAGAATCGCATGATCGTCCGTCCGTCCGTCCGTCCGTCCGTCCGTCCGAGCGTCCGTCCGTCAACAGTTGGGCACAAATCTTAACCGCTCGACTTACGGTCACGATATTCGGGACGTGGGGGGGGGGGGTAATCCAAAAACGAGTTGGGATGTCGAAGCTGGGGGGTCAAAGGTCAAAGGTCAAGAGGTGTAAAGAGAAGGGGGTTGAAGCAGTTCACTCCTTAACTTAAGGTATAGGAGGAAAGCAGAATTGCGGCAGCAAATCTAAATGCGGCTCGAGCGCTACGGCTCGCTGATAGTTCGGTGTATAGCATCAATGGTAAGAAAAGCCATCAGCTGTGCCGAAATTGGAGGTCACAGGTCAAAGGTCAATGGGCACAGGGCAGATTTTAGACATTTTCTGAGGAACATGGTCTGACGGAGCGATTGAAAAAACTTTTGTTTTCAGCGGTGACCTAGGCATTTTTAATGGCTTTTATTGAAAGACGACATGAAATATGCTTTCCACTGACATGCGAAGAGTAAGTGTCGGATAGAGCCTTTTGACCGCTCAAGAGGAGGGTTAAACATTGATTTGTTGACTGTTAAGCAAAGGACTGAACTGCTTTTGCTATTTTAGAGGCCGCATACCTGTGTCAATGTGAGGCTACAGTTGCACAGTTTAATTGCAAAGGCAAATGTTTGTTGAACAAGGTTTACGCTCCTTAAATCATATGATTTTCTAAAGCAGTCTGTCTATAGCACCCTGCCCCTGGGCCTGAAGGCTGAATGATGAATCAGTGAATGCTCGCATGAGGCAAAAACAGGCAGGCAGCCCATGGCTGGCACGCTTCTAATCATAATTGTTGCCTGCCAACCTGGCAATGGCACGCTGTTAACTCACAGCTGAGCAAAAATTATCACGCTGCCTGAATATACTTACTTGGATTTTAGCCTGTACCTACTGTAGGATTTCAGGAAGCGATGGCCATCTTTGATTATTGAATACACTTGCACGCGCCATCTCGCGGCAACTATGTATAGGCCTAGTTTAAATTCGATTTTATTCTCATGTAACTTTGTTAAACGAATAAATAATAACTAGTACCATATAATATATAATATTTACTTTTCATCTTGAATCTTAATATATATCATGTAGCTATGGCCGTGCGTATCCATTTACCAGTTGTGGCGAACATAAGCTGTTACCATAGAATATTAGAGACACTATATATTATGATTTCTATGACTGTTACCACTCAGGGCATAGGAAGAAAGCATTATTGAGGGGGCAGTAAAAGGGCATCATCGCTGGTTTTAATTTTTTTATATTAATTAGAGAGAGAGAGAGAAAGTCTAAGATAAAGAGAGCGAGAGAGTAGTAAATTTGAGAGCGGGACAGGAAAACGGTGATTACGGTGTGTAATGCGAGCGGAAAGGCGGGTAACATGATAGGTCGTGGCGAGATGGTGTGGCAAGGGGATGGGAGGTGGGAGGCCGGGGGAGGGAGGTCGAAGGCAGGGGGAGGGAGATGGGAGGTAAGGGGGTGGAAGTGAGCAGGGCAAGAAGGAAGTGAAGTGGGAGGCAGGGGGAGGGAGGTGGACGGGGGCAGTGGGAGGGAGTGGGAGTAGAAGGACTCCCGCGCCCCCTCTAATTAAACTTGGAGATGCCATGCTATTATGGTTGAAATCTTTTATAGATTAGATAAAAATAGATAGCTGTGAATCTATGACACAAATTCGAATGAAAGGCAAGTATCATTAATAAAATAAACCAAAATCGCATGGGGGGAAGATAGTGAGCGTGTCCTAACAATGATGTGTACGAACTGCGTATCTGCATATCTGCGGCCTAACAAATGTGTCACTACCGCACGACTGAAATTGATAGCGTTCATCAACCGTAGCAACAGACCCCAGATGAGCCCAGACGCTCTGCGGCTGCTTGTTTTATAAAAGCGACGCATGTGAACTTTCAGAGCGTTTTGATTGCCTGTGTATGTGTGTAGTGAGAGCCGTGGCCCTTTAAGCACTGATGACGTCAGAGACATGATACATCAGCTTTTTTCGGTATACATTATGCCAAATCCATCAGGCGTCCACCCTTCTACAGCTGTCATCTGGCGCAGTGATAGTTGAAATTGCCACGGGGTCGAAAATGAGAATTTACAGCTGCATTAATAGAATTTTGGTTTCATACTGCTGTAATTGTGGTAATTGAGAAATATCAAAAATACCATATTTACATAAAAACTGCAAAATTTGTTGTTGTTAGGCAGTAATTGGGTGGGCTGAAATTTCATGCAATTTTTGGTTTTGTGGCTAAGAGATAGGGCATCTCATGACTATAGAAGTGAAAACGTGTTGATTGATTCGATTAGTTGGGCGGCATGAACGTTTACTGCTTGGGGGCATTAGAGGATATCCCCGTGGGGCAAAAGGCTTGAGTGTTATCGCTTACATAAATAAAAGAGATGAGGTAGATATGACCAAAAATAAAAAAGGATTTATTAATTTTAAATCTGGTCATAACTGTTAATCATTTGTAATGCTATGTTATATATGCTACATAAATTAGCATGTTTAATATTGTGTGGCTATATAAGTCTTTCTGTGTAATAATGTCATTTTAAAGCTTGGCAGGATGTGGAGTAGATTTCGTACATGGGAATGTTTGCATTTTATGGTCATAGGGCCCGTGATGTCGCATGCCAAATTGCATCTCTCAGTTCCTAAACTCAGAAAAGTGGAGGGTTGCAGGGCGGCTGGTGATGTTATGGCTTTATTGGGGCTTGCGTATGGTGTCATCCCTTGTCTGGGGGCACTGGCATATAATCTAAATGGTGGTTGGCAAAGCAAAGTATTGTAGGGGGCGGCAGGTAAGGAGGGCGTGACTAATATAAGCTTGAATAAGCAATGCGTGTTATGTGAGGCTCATGGGTATGCCATATAATATAAGACCGTTGTGGGGCAATTATAATATTGTATCGGCAAGTACTAGGCTAGTACTGACTTAGATAATATTCGGCATGATTAAAACTAAATAAAATGGTAATGCATAGTGTGTAGTTTATATCTTAAATTTTTTATATAATCAGAAGATTCAATATTGTAATGCGTTACTTCGGCGCATAAAAAATTGGCTGCCATGGTACTCTGTTTGGCTTCGCTTACACTAGGTTTTCTATCCCCAAGGTATCAGTCGATGTAGGGCGCTGGTGTTGTGGGGTGGCATTTGATTTTAGGGCATATTCATGAAGCGCTGAACAGTTTGGTTAGGGGGCCAGGTGAGTGTGGTTGGCATTTTTGTTATTTAATTATATTTAGTGCAGCGAATAGCGCTTTGCCTGGCAGCCGGGCACACGCGCTCCGGGGCCCACGGGCGCGCCGCCAGAGTAAAACACAAACCTTTAGGCGCTGTCTAACGGGCTGTGATAAAGTGCATTATAAGGCAGCATTTTTATATTGATTGGGCTGATATTTTATGGATACTAATAAACTGTTGTAATATGTTTTACGATATTTGAAAATCTGTGCTGCTGCTAAGGATAGCTTGCTGAGTTATGTTAGGCCAAGGTCAGCATTTACTTAGTTTCAGTACTAACCTGATTGTGTTTTGTGGTGCAGAAGCATATTAAAAACTAGAGCTAGTGTATACAGCAAAACCTGTGTTATGTGGTAACCTTAAGGGCACCTCTCGAAGCAAACAGCGCGATTTGATCTGTAAACAGACTTAAATTTTGCGGCTGGAGGTGACTCATATATAATATTATATACTATTAATATATATAAGTTTGAGTTTATAATAATTCGTTTGGTTTGATTGAGCTGGCAGGTAAATGGACTATGTTGGGCACAGTCATCTTCAGTGGCGGCACATCATCATGGTTTTTGCAATGTACTCGCAAGGGTGGCAGGAGCAGGACTGGCCTGGAATTGCGCTGTCCATCATGGCAGCTTCGCATCGGCCTGTATTTGAAATTTGATACTTGGAAACCTTAGCAACATTGGTGGTGCATCTTTTTATCTTTCTCTTGTTCGCGCGTTTTTAATTAATACAAGCTATCCAAGAGCGTATTAAAGGCATACTACTAGGGCCGCAATTGATTAATTGGCAATGTTGACGAATCTAGAGTTAAGCTTGGCAC